CACAGAGGAGTTTAATTTACCGAGGTACTTACTCCACATTTGGGGAGGGACGTCTAACAACCGACTCTTTAGGTGTGGGCTGTGCACAGCGACTTCTCTCCAAAGAGGACAGCGTGGGAAGGGGGGAGAGAGTGACTTCCAGGGGAGAAACCGCACTGACACTACCTCAGGCAGGTAAGCAAGGTCAACACCAACAGTGGTAAACCATATTCATAATGCGAGGACAGTGAAGCTTTCCCTCTGTACTCTTCCTCTCCAAAACTAGTAACCCCAGTTTGCTCAAATTCCAGGAGAGGGACATTCTGTAATATATCTGACAAGCACTCCTCAAAACTGTCAAGGTCATCAAAAACAAGGGCAGTCTAAGAAATCACGGACAACAAAAGCCAAGAGGGCATGACAATAAAATAATGGGCCTCCTGGATGGGATCTTGAAACATAAAAAGGACATTAGGTAAACACTAAGGATAATAGATTTTAGTTAATAATAATGTGTCAATAGTGGTTCATTGATTATATTGAGTGCAGCATACTAATGTAAGATTAATAATAAGGGAAACGAGGTATAGGCCATAAGGGAACTCTGTACTTCTCAATTTTTAGGTGAAGCTAAAACTATTCCAAAAAATAAAGTCCATTTGGAAATTTTTTAAAAAACAGAAACCCTAAAGGTAGCAATGTCGCAATATCTTTACCAAGTGCAAGTGAAGGTGGGCTAACTTTCTTATAGTAAGTAAAGCCGGGTAAATAGCTTCCGTTTCTTTTTCTCACACAGAAAGGTTGGACCAGTCAACAGACCACCTAGAAAACTTTCACAGACCAGAGATCTAGTGACCACACTCCAAAGCAAACCATGACTGGCAGAGTATACTATTTTCAGACATTCCTCAGCACAACAAAACAGGGAGCAAAAAATATGTTATTCATGTGAATCTGAAAATATGTATGGCAAGCTGAGGAGAGAATGTTCTTGGATAAAACACACCGGGTGCCAGCCATCAGAACTGCAATAGTCTAAGCAAAATGTGCATTTATAAAACATTTTCAGGGAGGTCTCATTTCTAAACATACAACTGGATACAAGAGGCAAAAATTCTTTCTATATCATCTCCTCCATCACTCCCATGCGGCGGAGAGTCACCTTCCTTCTTTGTCATGCACCTGCTATAGTCCAGCTAGTAGGTGCACACTCTTTGAGCCCGAGTGTGTGATCACCACCATTCTGGATCTATTCTCATTGCAGAGTCACTTCACAAATGTATATTGTATTTCAACTGAAAAGCAAATTCCTTAAGAGCGAGGAAGGGGATATGGGCTGAGAACTAACATTCACTGTTCTGTGTCTCGTGTGAGACGCGGTCCGATTCTATACAAATGTCTCATAAAACCCTCTCACTGAATCCTCACGGACATCCACATGGTAGGTATTACTAAAACTATTTTACAGATGATGCCTATGAAGGTCAGAAAGGCAAAGCAACTTGGTAAGACGTTAAACTCAGTAACCCGTCGAGACCCAACTGAATGGAGCCATGGGGCCCATGTCTTCTCTACGACTGCCTGTTTCTCCACCCTCAGCAGTGTTCCCAGTGCTACAAGCAGACAAGTCATTCTGGTGCTCTTCTGACACGAACCAAGCTGAAGGATCAATAAGTAGGTAGTCTCATGATCATACTTTGTTAATAATATTTTATGACCAAAGCCTAGCCCTGTCTGTGGCTCTTAAGGAAATAAAAGGAAAATAAAGAAATTTGTGAACAAGTATTACTATCACAGGTATATCACCCTCTGCAACACTAACCAGAATACTAGGAATTTTCTAACATGGGACCAGGGGGGGAAAAGATTTCAGATTGTAAATGATTTATTAAATTGACTTGGGAGGCTATATTAAAAAATGGTAACCATGGGACTGTACTTATTTTATATCCTTTTCCCTGAACAGGAGGAAGAGGTTTGATAAACATCTTATTGTACTGCCTATCACTTATTGCACCCTTTGGAACCATATGCATACCTTATGAATCAGCAGAATTTCTGCTCCTGAGAGAATCTATAACTGTTAGCTGAAAAAAAGAAGTGTTCAGGTTTATGTTATTTTCCTTTTAAGAGGTTTATAATTTATATTGCCTGAAACTTCAAAAAAAAAAAAAACATGATTCTTTTTGCTTCAAATGATTCAGGAGACTCAAAAATTTATTGTAGTTAATTTCAAACTGAAGTCAGTATTAAAATCCCTAAACTGTTTTTTATACCCCTTTACTGATATCTTAGTTACATTTCCATGGCAGTATTTACAAATGCTAACCATGAATTTCCTTGCGTATCACTTTCAAGCTATAAAAATAAAATGAGAGGGACTAAGTGGTTAAGTGTTGATTATTATCAAAGTCCTGAGCTTAATTTTCAAAAGTGAGCTTGGTAGGGCTTACTATGTTATTACAAATGATTCAATAAACTCTCTAAGTGAATAAATGCAGGTTATAGATGGACCAATGATGAGCTATATATGAATTACGGGTTAAGATTAATCAAATGTCCGAGTCCAAATTTTTTAAAAGGCCAGAAAAAAAATTAAGCAATTCATTAAACAGAAGGTAGAAAAGGAAACAAAAAAACATGTAAACCACAAAATAGAATTAGAAAGCTCAAAAAGCACAGAGTATATGGACTAAAATGTTTTAAATGGAGAAGATAGTAGTTCTGGTTCAAAAACACACCAACCGATAATGCCCAGAAGTCCTGGCTAGTAACCGCTACCTAATTCACTAATATCAAACTCACCATCACTTATTATCCAGAGAATCGCTGACACGCCAGTTACTTACATTAGTGTGGCTCCTTTAGTGTCGTCCTATATAACATCTTAAGTTCTCTCCCAGCATTTTAAAGATTTTATTTATTTATTTATTTATTGATTTATTGATTTATTGATTGATTGATTTCAGAGAGAGAGAGAGAGAGAGAGAGAGAGGGAGAGAGAGAGAGAATGCATGCACAAGCATAAGTGGGGGTGGAGCAGGGTGCCCAATGTGGGGCTCGATCCCAGTACCCTGGGATCACGACCTCAGCCGAACGCAGACACTTAACCAACTGAGCCACCCGGGAACCCCCTTCATGTTTTCTTAGCACAATTTCAAATTCTGTACTCCTTGTACTTTTAAGTGGCCTTTCAACTAAAAATTTCAGAGCCACTCAAAGATTACTCTTAGAGCATACTTAGTACTGCTTTCATGAAGACATCTAGGATGCTTAATAAATCATATTGAGTGACAACAGCAAAGAAGGAAATTCCAGGCCTGCTTGATATTCATGACCTGTCTATAAGAAAAGATGAATTCTTTGCAATCCAGCTACTAACCAGGCTTCTGCCCAAGAAACCCTCCTTTGATAATTTTGATACTGAAATGCATTGGTTATGTTTTTAAAGCAAACAAATATATGTTTAGAGAAGTTGTGAGAAATATACATTTCTAAGGTCAAAGACACTGACATTAGGGAATGAGGGGTTTACAGAGACAGACCTCACACAGGGGCTATAAGGAGGAAGATCTCAAAGGTACCACAGGCTACAGATACAAAATCTCAATGGTGAGGAAGAGACGGAATTTTACGTAGTTGCTACAGGAAGTTGGGATAACTGAGATACATCTGTAGATTTCTAAGTCCTGCTGTTAATAATATAAAAGTGGGCCCGGAAAGGAGGAGAAACAACGAACTTCCATTAACAAGCCCCTACAAACAGCATTTCACTCAGTTCCAGAACATTTACCCAAGGCACATTTTGTGTGAAGCACTGGTGATACCAGTTCTTGTCAGTTTTGTCATTATTAAATCCCCAAGACCTACAGCAGAGAAGTGCTAACCTGACAAGCAAAGTCAACTTCCCACGCCACTCAACTCAGAAAACTCTGGTACCTACCTATCTGAACCTCTATACCTACACAGCTACCAACAAGCACAGGTACAGTGCTGCATTCTCAGCATGTTAATGACAGCACCATCCCTCTGTGGGAGGGCCCACTGCACCCAAGACGCAGAGTGTCTGAGGATACACTAACCCATAGTAAGTCTCCACGACGTAGGGCCAGTTTTTACCCGGTTTTTCAAATGAGGCAACACTGATACGCAGATTGTAAAACAACTATTCCAAATCTAAAGCGAGTCAATGAAAGAAATGGGTAGCATCCCAAGATGCTATTGAAGTGGAACAGGAGATTACAAGAAATGAATTACAAGAAACTGGAAACTTGGGGCATTGCTGGTGGAAGGTAGAAAGGTGCAAATATAAAGGTACAAGGATATGAATTGGAACTTTTCCATTTTTACAAGAAAATATACTGTGTACCTGCATGAGAGACCACAAATTACTATGTATCTCTTAGAACCTTAGTAAACCTAAAGGATCAACATGTAAAATCATGCAGGGAGGAAGGAACTCTGTAATGTTTGACTACTGAGCCTGATTTGCTATTATTTTTTAATCAAAAATGCTGCCATGGCCAAACAATAAACATTTCCACTCATCATTTAAAAAATGGAGATAAATCTGCAAAACACTAGTAAATATTACTCACTCACTGTTCCTGGTATCATCCAAGTCACATTTACAACACAGAGGAGAGGCAGAGAGTGACCCCGATTTTCCTTTATGTTGCAAAGATTTTCTAATTTATTTAATGTCCCGTTCCCATATGATACATCTATGGGAAGTCTTCTCTCTGGGATCACATTCTGTTCTCCTCTACTTAAACTTTAGAAAGGAAATAGATGCCCCATCAGACAACCCTGACTGTGCCATGGCTCTGACTGGTGACGCCAGTGTAAGTTTGCTGGCTTAAAGGTTAGACTGATTTGAAAATAATATTAGAATATCTTGATTGCATTTCTAGAATTTATATGTTGGCACAGTGTTTTATACAATTCAGTTAGGAAAATTAAGATTAAAAACACATTAAAATACTTACAAACGTATGAGTAAAAACAAACAAGTCACAAACCTTCTTGTGAAGACACAATGGGTGGCATGTAATCAGGAATGTATTCTTTTCTTTCCTCTGCATCTTTACTTCCAGGTTGAGGAAATTGAAGGACATTGTTCTTACTAACAGGAAATGAAGGAATCTGATGTGGGAAAGTCACAGGTTCAATATTGTGAATATAGTCTTCTAATTCATGAAGACTAACCCCCATAAGCTGGAAAGCTTCACCAACATCATCCAAAATTGGGTCTGTTCGGCCATCTGAAACAAAGTCAAAAGCCAAGCAAATTATCTTAAGGAAGTCCCATAAATACTTTTTTAAAATATGAAGAAACATTAGGTTCACATGTAGTTCAGAATCTAATATAATATACTTCAGACCAAGTTATTTGGAAGAATTTAATGGATTTTAAATAAAACATCATACTATTTAAATATTAGTGGATTCCTTAAGTCGATTTGAAACATGATCTGAGAACCAGACAATTCACACTAACAATCAGCTAGTGCTGAGTACATATCAGAAGTAGTTTATGGACAGACAGTGACCAAAAAAAGGTAAATGCCCAGTAAATATAACTATTACTGTTCTTTATCAAATAACCAGAAGGCTGTGCTAAGTAAATGTCCATTACATTTTTACCATTGTTCAATGGTGTAGCTCTGAAACCTAAAACAGTGGCTGGCATGTAGTTGGCACTCAACAAATACTGGTTGAACGACCTCCCGTACTTCTTCCCCTGACATCCCAGATTTCACTTTGTCTGGTTTCAGTTATGAGCAGTCAACATGGTGAAGCAGCAGACAACTGTCCTTCTGACTTATCATCAGAGGGTCAACAGTAGCCTAGCCCTAAGTCACAATGTCATTCATCTCCTTATGCAGGAATTTTGTCATCTCACATTGTCACGAGGATGAGAGCAGCGTATTAAGATACTTTGAGAGGGAGAAAAAGTGATCATTCACATAACTTTTATTACAATGTGCTGTTATAACTGTTCTGTTTATTATTAGTTATTGTTGTTACTCTCTTAATGTGCCTAATTTACTAATTAAACTTCATCATAGCTTTCTATGTATACAGTTCAGTACTATTTGTGGTTTAAGGCATCCACTGGGGGGGGAGGGTCTTCAAATATACCCTCATGAATGAGGGGAGACTACTGTATGCCACTGAATCAATTTTTAATTTAAATTCAATTAATTAACATATATTATTGGTTTCAGAGATAGAGCTCAGTGATTCACCAGTTTTATATAATACCCAGTGCTCATTACATCATGTGCCCTCCTTAACACTCATCATCAGTTACCCCATCCCCACTCCCCTCCCTTCCGCGACCCTGTTTGTTTCCTATGATTAAGTGAATCACTTTTTAAATCCAAGAAAGTCTACAGAAAACACTTAAATCAGAAAGATAATTTACACACAAATTTTAAATGTCATTAGAAGATACCATATAAAATGGATAGATATGAAAGGATATATCAAGGTTTAATTAAGGTTTAATTAAGGAGGTTCTCTTTACAAAGGTGGTGGGGTTTTTGTTTTATTTTTTTTTACACTGAAATCTCCTATGATCACTTCAAACTCAGTATGTCTGAAATTAAATCATGCTGTAAAATGAAAATAACCTAAAGTTTATAAAAATTAGACCCATGCTTGCTCACGCCCACATAAAAAAGTTCTGGAAGGATATACGTCCGTCCAAATGTTAACAGTTTAAGGGGCTGAAAGCTGAGTGCAGAGAAAGGGAAGCAGGAGACTTTTACTTGTAACTTCAAACACTTTTGTAGTCTCTGAATTTTGCTACAAGTAGGAGTTACTTCTATGATGTATAAAATAGCAGAGATAAATAAAATGGATTATTCATTCTTCCTCTTAATGACATGCATATACATTTCAACTCTTTAATTCCCAAGAAAAGCATTACTATTCTCTCAGTCCAGAATAAATGATTGTCTTGAATTCCTCCAAATGCTTTGCAATTTCAATGCAAGACCCTCTGGTTCTCTCCTCTTCCTGTCCATTTCCCGCAACAGATTTCAGAACTTTTTCTTTCCTTCTTTTCCAACTGTCACTCTCCCAATTCATTTTCTGGGTATATCCTCACATGAGTCTCTCTTGTATTCGGTGAGAGCGTGATTTTCTTAAGATATCACTTTCACCCCACTGTCTCCCTCCTTAGAAGTATGCAGTGTTTCTGACCATGCTGTCTTTCCTATAAGGCCTTCCCAAACCTGACTTCACTCCACGTTACATTTTCCTATTAACACCTTCCTAATGCACTGGCCACAAGTTGTCAAGCTGGCCACCTCACTGGTACTTCTGGCACACTCAATCCTACTTGGATATCTTAGGTGATGGTTTTCCCTAGCCTGGCGTCCACTCCACCTCTATGCAGGCACGCTTCACAGCTCAAGGCAAATCTAGTCTTTGCTGTGAAGTCATCCTGCCCCCGCCCATACACCACACCCATCTTTCCTTTACCTTCCTCCTTTTGCATTTACTGCTTGTATCATGCAATTATTAAGCTACAGGTACCAGTCTTTGAGAGTCATTCTGAAATATTGAGCGCCTACTTTCAGTGCACACTCACGTATTTAATACGTAATACAACGCACAGAGAAACATCTGCCCTGAAGGCTTTCACAAATCATTACCTTAGGGAAATTTAAAAATGCATTATCTGTCGAATTAATAGCAACTTCTGATACTTGCTTTACCTTGAGAGCAATTTTCTTAAAAGGAGCATACACCACCAGTTTATTTTGTTGACAGTCTGCACAAGTTGTGGACAGGGACTGTGTCTTAGGACGTTAGTGTCTCCAACACAGTGCTCGGTTCTTTTTTTAAAGATAGATTTATTTATTTATGAGAGCACGAGCAGAAGGACAGGGCAGAGGGAGAATCTCAAGCAGAGTTTGCGCTGAGTGTGGCACCCAACACTGGGCTTGATCTCATGACTCTGAGATCATGACCTGAGCCAAAATCAAGAGTCGGGAGTTCAACCAACAGAGTCCCCCAGAAGTCCCAGTGTTCAGTTCTCAGTGCTGCTCAGTGAATGTTGTCAGAACGAAAAAGAAGATTTAAAGGAGGAGATTACAAGACTGCACAGTGGTAACCCGAGGTCAAAATTTGAGTTTAAAACTAGGAGAGTATAGAAAAAAGAACCTAAAAAAGTCTAATAAGCTAATAAGTATACCAGGAATCAGCATTTTTATTAAAGTCACAAAACCATGATGGAGAATAATGAACCTGATAGTCACATTCTCACTAAAAGCAAGAAGACTGACTACAGAAATTGGGTAATTTGAAAAGGGATTTAACGTTAACACATAACAATGATTACTTGATGACTTTGAAATACAGGGTTACTTGCAGTGCCAGCACATTATTCTGGTTCTGTGTCTAAGGCAGGAAAGGTAACTATGAGTTCAGGGGATATTTTCATTACCTAAAAATACAGAATATCTGTCCTTATTTAGGGAACTTGGTAGCAAAAATACAATCTGGACTATGCATAACCGTAACAGTATATCCAAGGACCACAAAGAGGCGGAGGGAAAGAAAAGAAGCAAAAACCAAGACAGCAGGGTGCTGGTGGTGTATTCAAGGTAACAATGAATGAGAGTTACTTTGTCATACCACGTTTAGATTAGAAGTTATCAGTGAAATCAAGCAATCCCAAAATTCACATCTTGGAACTCAAAAACTCAGGTGACTAAACAGCTATTACAGTAGTAGGTTATCAGTTCATTCATTTATTCAGCAAACACCTCCTGGGTGCCAAGTATATTATGGCACCATACTAGGTTACAGAATACAAATATAATAAATTTGTTGCCTGGGGAAAAGAAAGGGTGAATGATAGACACGGATGATTACAAAACAAGGTGTTAACGTACAGGAATATGGACAGAATTATGAGAGCAGATAGGAGTTGCTCAAATCAAGTGCTTTAAGTGAATCTCAACATAGAAGTAGGACTACTGGTGGATCAGGGGGTGAAGAAAGATACTCTATGAAACGGCACCCATATAGGAACGGATAGTTTAAAAAGTTTTGGAGAAGGCAGGTAGCTCAGCATGGTTGCAATAAGAACATCAGGAGGGAAGGGAAAGCTCACAAAGAAAACCATGTGTTGTGGAAGAGTTCATATTTTCAGCCTGTAAGCCATGGAGTACAAATTAACATATTTTTAAGAATGACACAATCAGGGCAGCCCCGGTGGCTCAGCGGTTTATCGCTGCCTTCAAGCCCAGGGCATGATCCTGGAGTCCCGGGATGGAGTCCCATGTCAGGCTCCCTGCATGGAGCCTCCTTCTCCCTCTGCCTCTCTCTCTCTCTCTGTGTGTCTCTCATGAATAAATAAAATCCTTAAAAAAAAAAGAAGGGAAGAAAAGAATGACGTGATCAGATGTGCCTTACCGACAGATTATTTTGGCAGCACTATAGAAGCTGGTACGGAATTGGGGGCCTAAGAAGTAAATGGCATCTGTGGGTCTCAATTTTCAGATCTAGGAATGAGTTTAAAGAAGCAATAATAGGAGCACCTGGGTGGCTCAGTGGTTGAGCATCTGCCTTTGGCTCAGTTCGTCATCCTGAGGTCCTGGGATGGAGTCCCACGTCGGGCTCCCTGCATGGGACCTGCTTCTCCCTCTGCCTGTGTCTCTGCCTCTCTGTCTCTCTGTGTCTCTCATGAATAAATAAATAAAATCTTAGAAAGATTTTAGAGAAGAGTTACTCTAAAGAGTAAAGAGTGAAGAGAAAGAGTTACTCTTTCTTTAAGAAAGAGAAGAAAGAGAAGAAAGAAGAAAGAAAGAAAAGAAAGAAAAGAAAGAAAGAAAGAAAGAAAGAAAGAAAGAAAGAAAGAAAGAGAAAGAGAAAGACAGGCAATAATTTGTTCACCCAGTTCTCCAGCTTAGGCAACTTAGGAGTATGGACCTCAAATTTCAATGAATGGTAGTTCCCCCTGTACACACACCCACTTACTTCACATCCCTGGGGTGATGTGTGGTTCCTATCAAATATACTCTGAATTATGAAATGCCATCAGCTGTCGATACTACCAGACGCTCACTTAAAAACCATCAATACGGGGACCCCCGGGAGGGGGAGGAGGGGCTCAGCAGTTGAGCATCTGCCTTCAAGCCCAGGACATGACCCCAGGGTCCTGGGATCCAGTCGTGCACCAGGCTCCCTGGAGGGAGCCTGCTTCTCCCTCTGCCTGTGTCTCTGCCTCTCTCTCTCTCTCTCTCTCTGTGTCTCTCATGAATAAATAAAAATCTTAAAAAAAAAAAAAGCCCATAAATACTTGCAGCGCAAGCCACCTGCTTTGATAACCGCGGACGTAGAAACCCAAAAAGAGGCAAAACCCCACGGGTATGCGGAAGCCCGTGTAAGCGAGCCGGACAGAGCCGGCCTCGGGGGAGCGAGCGAGCCGCGATGCTCTTGCACGCTCCGCACGGCGCGGACCGGTCACAGGAGAGAAGAGGCCGCGTCCGCAGCGCGGCAGAGCTGTCAGCGGGTTCTGCGAGGTCTGGGAGCTGAGGGGTGGCCAGGGGGGCCCTGCAAGAAGCGGCCGGTAGACGGAGCGCCTGTGACAACTAGTTGTAGTAGTTTGCAGGCACGGGAGCGGGAGGACCCAAGTCGGAGCTGGCGGTGGCTGTGCACGCGCGGGCGGGCAGCGAGGCAGGTTTCCCACCGGGAGGCGAGGCGGGCGGGCCGTGCAGCTGCGAGCGGGGCCGGGGGGGCCGGGGGGTCCCGGCGGCGGCGGCAAGTGAGCGGGCGACGCGGAGACGGGGGGTGGGGCTCCCCGGAGTTGCCAGGGGCGGCGGAATCCGGGGGGCGTCCGAGAAAATGCCCGATCTCGGGGTCGAGGAGGAGGAAAAGGAGGAGGAGGGGGGGAGGGGGAGGGAGGGGCGGGGGGACCCGCAGCCTGGAGCCGCGGAGCAGAGGCGCGAGGACCGGAGGTGTCACTCGCCGCTGTCCGGGGGCAGCCCTCCCGCTCCCGGCCCGGTACTCACACAGCTCAGAGTACCGGTGGCAGCCCCGTCCCAACTGCTGCAGGTAGCGCTGCAGCACGTCCGTGAGGAGGTGGCAGGCGCTCAGCTGCACCGAGTCCCAGCCCAGCGCCTGGCAGATCTGCGCCACCGAGACCCTCAACAACGACCTGGAGTAACTCTCGCACATCCCGCTCCGTGGACTCCACCGCAGCCCTCGCTGCCACTGTCTCCACCCGCACCGCCTAACCTTAGCACAGCCCTCGAGTCATCCTCTAGGGCCCCCGCGGCGGGGAAATCGTGCCCCCCGAGCCCCGGCGACCGCCTCAAAGCGCCAGCAGCACGGAGCGCGCCAGCCTGAGAGCCGCCATTTTGGGCTCGCTCCGCCCCCCGCTGGACGGCCGCCGGGGCCAGGCAGCACTAGCCGAGGGCGGAGCGCGCCCGTGCGGAAGCTCCGCCCTGCCGGGGCAGAGCGATGCTCTCGGTGGCGGCTGTCGGGCCTGGGAGGGCGCCGGAGACGGCGCGGTGCGGGGCGCAGGTGGAGGATGCGCGCGCGCCGAGGCAGGTGCCCGGGGGTCCCTCGGGCGGGCGCTCAGGGGCCGGGGCCCGAGTCCGGCAGCTGCAGCGGGAGCGCGACAGGCCGTGAGTGCGGGGGCGGGATTCGGGCCGCGGGGACGCGCGGGGACGCGCCGGGACGCGCCGAGCCGGCCTCGCCCGCGCCGCCGCCGCCGCCGCCCGGGGTTGCAGAGGTTACGTCACGCCCAGGCCGTTCTGGGTCGGGGCCGCGCGGGGCGGAGCCTGCGGGACCCCGGGAAGGGCCGGGCCCCGCCCGGCCTCAGGGCGCCCCTCTGCTCCAGCTCTGGGTTCCCTGCACCCCAGTCGGCCCCGCAGGGCATAGCCAGTTCCGGAAGCGGACGGCGCCGCTGCGGGCGTGCGGAGCTGCTGTCCACGGATCCCCCCGGGCTGCCGAGGGCCGGGCGTCGTCGCAGGTACCTCGGGTCGTAAGTGTTGGGTAGAGTCAGCCCGTGGGTGGCCTGCGGCGGGGGCTGAGCTGGGGGTCGCTTAGGCACGCCCCTTGTGCCCCCGCCGACTCAGGAGCCTGCCTGCCTGCTTCCTGCCCACCTGCCTTCCTGCCCGTCTGCCAGCTTGCTTCCTTCCTTCTTTCCTTCCTGCTTCCCTGCCTTCCTTCGTTCCTCCTTCCTTCCTTCTTGCTCCTTCCTTCCTTCTTTCCTTCTTCCTTCCTTCCTTCCTTCCTTCCTTCCTTCCTTCCTTCCTTCCTTCCTTTTTGCTTCCTTTCTCCCTTCCTTCCTTCTTGCCTGCCAGCTTGCTTCCTTCCTTCCTTCCTGCTTGCCTCCCTGCCTTCCTTTTCCTTCCTTCCTTCCTTCCTTCCTTCCTTCCTTCCTTCCTTCCTTCCTTCCTTTTTGCCTCCCTGCTTTCCTTCTTCTTCCTCCCTGCCTCCTTCCTTCCTTCCTTCCTTCCTTTTTGCTTCCTTTCTTTCCTTCCTGCTTCCCTGCCTTCCTTCGTTCCTCTTTCCTTCCTTCTTGCTCCTTCCTTCCTTCTTTCTTTCCTTCGTCCTTCCTTCCTTCCTTCCTTCCTTCCTTCCTTCCTTCCTTCCTTTTTGCTTCCTTTCTCCCTTCCTTCCTTCTTGCCTGCCAGCTTGCTTCCTTCCTTCCTTCCTGCTGGCCTCCCTTCCTTCCTTCTTCCTTCCTTCCTTCCTTCCTTCCTTCCTTCTTCCTTCCTTCCTTCCTTCCTTCCTTCCTTTTTGCCTCCCTGCTTTCCTTCTTCTTCCTCCCTGCCTTCCTTCTTCCTTCCTTCCTTCCTTCCTTCCTTCCTTCCTGCTTTCCTTCTTGCTTCCTTTCTTCCTTCCTTCTTGCCAGCCTGTCTCCTTCCTTCCTTTCTTCCTGCCTTCCTTCTTTCCTTCCTGCTTGTCTCCCTGCCTTCCTTCCGTCCTTCTTGCTTCCTTTCTCCCTTCCTTCCTTCTTGCCTGCCAGCTTGCTTGCTTCCTTCCTTCCTTCCTGCTTGCCTCCCTGCCTTCCTTCTTGCTTCATTTCTTCTTTCCTTCTTGCCAGCTTGCCTCCTTCCTTCCTGCCTTCCTTCCTTCCTTCCTTCCTTCTTGCTTCCTTTCTTCCTTCCTTCTTGCCTGCCAGCTTGCTTGCTTCCTTCCTTCCTGCTTGCCTCCCTGCCTTCATTCCTTCTTGCTCCTTCCTTCCTTCCTTCCTTCCTTCCTTCCTTCCTTCCTTCCTTCCTTCCTTCCTTTTTGCCTCCCTGCCTTCCTTCTTCTTCCTCCCTACCTTCCTTCTTCTTCCTCCCTACCTTCCTTCTCCTTCCTTCCTTCCTTCCTTCCTTCCTTCCTTCCTTCCTTCCTTCCTTCCTTCCTTCTTGCCTCCCTGCCTTCCTTTCTTCCTTCTTGCTTCCTTTCTTCCTTCCTTCTTGTCTGCCAGCTTGCTTGCTTCTTCCTTCCTGCTTGCCTCCCTGCCTTCCTTCCTTCTTGCTTCCTTTCTCCCTTCCTTCTTGCCAGCCTGCCTCCTTCTGCCTGCCTGCCTGCCTTCCTTTCTTCCTGCCTTCCTTCCTGCTTGCCTCCCTGCCTTCCTTCCGTCTTGCTTCCTTCTTCTTTCCTTCTTTCCTTCCTTCCTTCCTGCCTTCCTTCTTTCCTTCCTGCTTGCCTGCCTTCCTTCTTTCCTTCCTTCCTTCCTTCCCATCATCTCTCTCCTCTGCATTTCTCTGTCCGTTTCTCTGTTCTTATACTTGGCACAGTGCATTTGGTATTTGAGTTTATGTGCCTTTCCCAGCAAATGGTGTTTCTGAGTAGATCTACATCTTCCCCACAGGAGGTATTCCAGAACTGTAAACATAATAGACACTCAATTTTTAAAAGCCTTAAAAACACAGGAGAAAGCTGTGTTAAAGCACAGTGGTGCTTTAGCCAAATGACCATTCTGCAGAGATGGTGCTCGGTGGCAGGGTGCCTGTAATATTTTCTTTGCTGACACTTGGGTACCCAAGATTATCAGGGACCTTTGGGATGCTAACTGTATAGAACACTTTGAAGTCCTAGCCTTACCTGACCATTTTGTGGCCATTTGATAGTGTTGAACACCTATTTTCTTATTTTTTGAAATATCTTTTTTTTTTTTTGAGAGATTTTGAAAATCTCTCCTACCTTGGATCTCACAATACCGTGTTCTCTTGCTGTACCTTCAGTACTACTGGAGGCTCCTTCTAATATCTATATTAGACCCCTCTTTGTCTCTGTGTGTGTGTTCAACTGCTTAATCTTTTATTCCAGAAAATTTCAAACCTACAGCAAAGTTGAAGTAGAAAAGTGTGAGCACAGGCATCTATACCTCATCTAGATCTGTCAATTGTTAATGCTCTGTAACATTTACTATGTACGTATACACATACACTTCTTTTCAGAACAGTTTGAAAATAAGTTGCAAACTTCATCACACATAACTCAGAAATACTTCAGCTTTTATCTCCTCAAAGAAGGACATTCAGAGGTTCAGTTCCCCCAGGAAGTCGTTTCTGGGATGGAGCTCAGCCTGCAGGAGGTTTTTTAAGGAGTGCTCCTGGGATCACCACGTGTGCAAGGGGAGGGGATTGCAAGGCACTTTCAAGGAGACCTCAGCCAACCCCACAGGAACTCTGAAGCTGGGTGGCTGCTTCAGATCTGTTCTGAGTCGGGACAAGGGGGCTGGATCTTTATATTCCCCTGTTGATAAGTTAGTGCTTGAGGGCTTTCCTAGAAAGGGTGTGTGGTTTGGGACAGAGGTGCTCTCTGCTGCTGAAGCGATTGAGGGAAAGCTAAAGTCCTTTATTCCTGAGGATCTGAGCAGTGCACTACAAGATTCAGTCCTGCCCTAGTGTGTTCGGGTTACCGTAACACAGTACTACAGAGTGGGTAACTTACTAACAACAGAAACTTATTTTTCACAGTTCTCGGGGCTGGAAGTCTGAGATCGGGTGCCGGCACAGTTCTCTTCTGGGTTGCAGACTTGTGGTATATCTTTTCAAGGTGGAAGGGACAGGGGAGCACTGTAGATCTCTTTTATAATTGCATGAATCCCATTCATGAGGCCTTCACCCTCATGACCTCATCCCCTCCTAAAGGCCCCACATTCTGACACCGTCGTGTGTGTAAGGATATCCATGTGTGAGTTTGGGGTGACACAAACATTCGGGCCATAGCAACTAGTGTACCCCTTGTATTAGGAGATCCACTTCTTGGTGTAAGTGTGAGGAACAGCTCCTTCAGGATCCCAGGAGGCCTCTTTTCCTAGGAAAGGCATTGACAGAAGCAAAGTCCCAGCCCCTGCTGCTGCAGCAGAGCCCCCATGGTACTTACTGTTTGTGTTACGTCCTTCGCCTTTGGCTAACACCGCTACTGGTCTAAGTGGCTTTCCCTGTGGCAGGACCCAGAAGCTTGTCCCCACAGTGCTGCCCACCGTGTAACTGCGGCGTGGGCTTCTAGGGATTGTGGTCGGTTACTCCTGCCTGCACAGTGACTTCTCTCTGCATGCTGACCCCTGGCTGATGTGCCCAGCTGGCAGCGGTAGCTAACATTTCAGTGGGACTCCTGCTGTGCCCCATGGTGAAAACAGTCCCCCTTTTGCAAATTAAGACTATTTATTTATTATTATTATTTTTTAATTTTTTATTTATTTATGATAGTCACAGAGAGAGAGAGAGAGGCAGAGACATAGGCAGAGGGAGAAGCAGGCTCCATGCACCGGGAACCCGACGTGGGATTCGATCCCGGGTCTCCAGGATCGTGCCCTGGGCCAAAGGCAGGCGCCAAACCACTGCGCCACCCAGGGATCCCCAAATTAAGACTATCAACCTGCAGGAGCCAGCGTTGCAAGGACAAGAACAGTTTCCTGGGTGGGTCACTAAGAGTTATGCTCATAGGGACCAAACTGTCAAATGATACACAGAGATAGAATAGGGGCCATTGGCCCTGCATTCTTTGAGTCCTTAAGGATGCCACAAATTTCTCCCTTCTCCTTTCCCCCTCAGCTGCAGGGCCAGTCCCAAGCTTGTTTCAGCCTTCCTGCTACCACAGTTCTGACCCCACAGGCCAAGGATCAGCATGGAGGTGGTGCCAACTTCCCTGTCTAATCTAATTACACATTGAGGAACTAGGGAGTGGACTGTTGAATGGGTCCATCCACCCAGGGACCCAGTGCTTCATTTATTGCTGGGCCTCATCTGCCCCCACTCCAGCAGAGCCCCACAGTGACTCTGCATCTCCCGGTTTCCGTCTCTCCTCTGCCCCTGTGTTCAGCAGTCCTCAGAATGCTTCAGTATTCCCTTTCTCCAGTGCGAATTACTTGAGTAAATGACTGTTGGTTCCTTTGCGGAAGGAGTGGGGAAATCATTATCTTCTCTGTTTGCTGTTGAGTTCTCCCTCCCAAA